AGCATCACTGTCCTATGAAAGCCATGTATCTCCAAAAACGTAACCTTTTTAATGTAGTAAGAAAAATAGCCGTTTCCAGCTTCATGACGATGCATATTTAGCTAACCCAGTGGTTAAATGGTTTATGTAGCTGTTTTTAAATGTATGAGAATTTCCCCAACCCATAAATGATTTAATCCGTCAGTTTATCTTAAAAATTGAAAAACATTTGGTGATAAGTAGTTTACATTCGTCAACAGCAAAAGAGCAGATACTTCGGAGTTTGGGCCGTATCAATTTTTTTGTTTGTTTTCTTTTTAAACTTGATGGATGAGTAGCACTAAAATGATAGTATATCCTTTTCCGTAACAATAATCCACAGTTTATTATATATATATACATATATATACATATATATATATAAATAGTTGTGGCCCTTGTGACAAGTAGGATTATGGCTTTGAGATGAAGGTATTTGCAGTAAATTTATTTTATCAAGTAAAGTGGATACAGGAACCATGATAATCAATGCGGTTACTGAAAGAAAAGGAGCTGTAATTGACCTCAACCTCCTTTTTGGAAAAGAAAGAAGATGTAGTCACTAATTTAGAGGATGAAATGGAAAAGAGATATAATGAGTTATGAATGCCTGCTTTAAGGAAGTAATATGTAAGATTATTTTGAAATGAGTGCTTAGTAATACATTATGACTGCGGTGGAGACACAGAAACAAAGGAAGTGCACTCACTTAGTCATGACTCATTCTTTTTCTCCTGCACACACACACACACACACACACACGTGCACACATTATGCACAACAGACATTCACACACTCGATAAAACTACTGTTCTTTCATATGGCAATTTATCTGAACAAATTAGAGCCTGCAACTATCCCACAGATGTAATCTCAGTCAGTACCTACCATGCAAATTAAAGCAACGCCGTCCATACTCCATTACACATATCATTATAAACCCCTGCCCCACTTCAAAACCTCAGCTACCAATAATCAATCTTACTATGTTGGGGAATAAAATGCAAAGCGCTGAATTAACAAGCAGGCGTGACAGGCTGATTATTGATTTAATGTCAGCGGCTGGCTGGCACATACATCTCTGACGCTCAGCACACTATTAAAACGTCCTAACTAGGGTAATTGCATTAGACACCTTTTTATACCACTTTGTGCAGCTAATCGGCATGTAATAAGGAGAGAGAAGAGACAGGAGTTGAGTGATTTGCTGAGTCAGTGGCCGTGTGATGTCATGTCTGGAGGTAGAAGCAGAGGAAAGAATAAGTGGTGACAGGAGGAGGAATGGGGAACTTTCTTCCTTGTAGGGGGAAGAAATTGTGGCAATAATCTGTACTTGGGGCTACTGTCAAAACTAGATATCATTTTCTCTAACTCAGCATCTTGTTCAGAAGTGCCATATCCTTTAAACACCCTGCCTGTCCGCAGAAAAGTAGGACTATGTAGAACTCTCATACTGTAAACTGCTGTACAATGGAAAGTTACATGAATATGAATGTGTAATGTATTGATAGATTAGAGTATTTCTTTCAGTATTCCTTTATCAGTTGTTGGGGAATTATTCTCTCTGTTACCAGTGTTAGCAGTAGCGTCACTACAAGTAGCGGCGTTAACTAGGGGGGTCAGACCCCCGAATCCCACCCGTAATTTGAACCATGGCCTTCTGTGGTTATGTGTTGGACTATTTGGAGCCAGGCTAGCTCCAATAAATAGATATGAGAGTGGTAATCATTTCTTCCAACTCTCAGCAAGGCTGCTAATAAGCATATTTCCTACATCTGTAGATGTGGAGACGAGCTATCTATAATTTATTTTAATCACTGTTAAATGTTTAGTAAGTCTTCTCTTCATATGGCTGCGTAGGCTGAACAATATTTGCCTCCCGGGGACGAATCCCAGAACTGAAATATCTTTCAAACTGCGTCACTGCAGCAACTTGACCGTGCTCCAGGCCTGGACCACTTCCTGTTGCTCTGTGAATGAAGATGTGAAACTTCATTATGGACCCCCCAATGAGGCCTGTGAGGGGGACGTGGCGAGAGAAAAGAAGAGAAGTGAGAGGGAGGGCTGGGGGGTGGCCAGGTGCCAGGTGCTCCCTGTGACGGGACACCCCATCGCCACGGAGACAAGGGTCAGGGGGCATGCGGGGGAGGGTATGCTCAGGGTGGGCACGTGCTCCGAGCAGTGGGGCGGCCGGGCTTTGGCATGAATTACCCGCCCGCTGAGCCGCTGCTTTGGGGATGCTGGAGGAGAGGTCACGTACTCAGTGGCCCTCAAACGCACACAGGCTCTCTCAGCAACAACAACAAGGCTCTGTGTGCGCCCAGCTAGTCACAACAGCTATTCTGCATTTAGCACAAATACAAGTACACACACACACACACACACACACACACACACACGCATGCACACTTGGAGAGGATGAATTAGGTTAGCTTCGCTGGTCAAACAGGACGGCTCTATACGCAGCAGGCCACTAAACACAAATTATTCTCGCTAGAATGCTTTTCATATCAAAGAGGAAAGAGACAATCAGTGGCTGGACCTCCTCCATTTAGATTGTCCCACAGCTCAGTGTGGCGCCACATAAGGCACCTTGTCCAAAGAGCACCTGGATGCAAGAACACCGACATACATATACATTTCTTGTTAAGTAAACATATATTAAAGTTAGATGTTTTCCCATACAGATCTTTTTTATGGAGATTTATGGTGGGAATTATAGAATTATTATCAAACTCTGGTCAATATATATCTCTAAACACATGAAAAATGTATGATGTATTAACAAATCAAAAAAGTATAATCCCAATAAAACAATGTTACAGGTGTTTTTTTGAGCTGTTAAAATGGGCCTGGAGTACTTTAATCAAAATTAAGCAAAACAGCTGAATAGAGGTTTGCAGTTTGAATCAATTAAACCAAGTGTTGATGCATTTATTGGAATTATTCCTGAAAAAATAGATAGGCCTAGCTTTTTACCCACTTAAAAAAAAAAAATCTCTCCTGTGAAGAAATACTCAGTTCTCCTTCCCAAAGTCAAACAGTGAGATAAAACATTTGACCTTCAGTGTAATTTAGGGAATAAAACCGTAAGCATCCTTTGTTTGGTAATAATCACTGAACCTCCTCCTCAGCATGACACTGCTGCTAAACCGGAGGTTTGTTTTTGCCAACAGTATGTGATGATCCTACTCTGACGGAGGAGGGCTGAGGAGAAAGAGAGAGAGGCCGGGCCACGCTGTTCAGTGCTAAACTGAATCAAAGGCCAGAGGCTGCTGCGTCTGCCTCCAGCCGGTTGATTGCCGGAGACCCTGGATCAGTGCCTTCATCATCTGACAACCTGTGAGAGCGACTCATTCATCCAGTCCTCTCCTACACACCTCCGGGACCTCAACAACACCTCACAGCATAATGAATCAAACAAGCCTCCGCATAAACACACACTTACATGTGCGCACGTCACACTAATGATTGTCAGCAAAGACAAAAGAAAGTTTGCTGACAAGTTTATGGCTTATCCTGAAAGTAGAGAGACGTCGGCTGCGTTTGCAGATGGATACTCTGATATCTAATCATGGCAGACGTCAACAATGCCGTCCTTATTATTGCGGTAATGAAAACCGAATCAGTCTCACACGGATTAATTTGTAAAAGAAAAATAATTAAGACAAAAGGTCCTGTATCAAGCAGGCAAATCAGAAAGACAACAACATATGATGCGTGACAGTTTCCCCGAGTCCTCCTGCGGTGATGCAGGCCTGTCCTTTGTGTCATGACTAGTCGCTCTCCGGCATTAATCAGAGCGTCGTCCTATCTTATTAGGCTGAGCTGGGAGATGATAGGGAGACTGCAGGTCTTTAATCAAGGTTAGAATAATCTGTGATGGTAGCTGATTATAAACCTGATCATCAGCAGCATATTGTCACCTCCTAATCATCCAAATAAACAGAGACAGATCTGACCTCGGCTCCAACGTGGAGGTATAAATGACACGCACACAAACACATGCATGAGCCTTACCCATGCCTACATGCATTTGCAAGTACTCACATAAATGCATTCTTGCTCACACATACACAGAATTTGCTTAAATGTCTACACGCGCTCAGATACGCAATCTGCAGCATGCAGCACTTTTCCATCAAATACTTTTAATGCAAATACCACGTTTTATGGTGCCTTTTGAAATTCCTTGCCTCTCAGCGATTGAGAAATGAAAACACTGCAGCTAAGGAACCCCAGCTTGAAAGACATCCATCAAGACAGCAGATAAACAATGAAACGGCCCTTCTCAAGTCGATGATAACCTCAACTTTTTTCTAATCTACTTTCATGTGCTTTGTCTCCTTTTTTTATTTACTCCCACTCTTTCTTTCACCTCTCCCGGGGTGAGCCTCTCCTCTCCTTTCTCCTCCCTCTCCTCCAGAAGCTCATTACCTTGGGGCCGAGTCTGGCTGTTTTCAACACAGCGAAATTATAACACGACCGGCGACGGCACTCGTTAGCAGCCTTGTCAATCATCTTCGCGGGCAGGGGGAGAAGCAATCGGCGCCGGGGTCAGCGATGAAGATGTTCATTCTCTATTCATCCATCACATCTTCCGGGAAATCAATTTACACCGCATCAGCGTCACAGTGCCTCAACAACAGCGGTGATATGAAAGAGGAGGGAAACAACTTCTGAGAGAAAGACAGAGGAGAATGGTAGATTCGTTTAGATAAAATCTAATAAACGTCACTCATCTTGTTTTTTTTCTTTTTCTGTCACCCCCCAGGTTACCTGAATCCATTGTACTCCATTGGAAATGACTATTTGCTAATAACTTTTAAATATATTTTGAAAAAGATAGCTAAGCTTTAATAGCAACCAAAGTACAGCGCTAGCTATCAACATGTTTATCCTCATCTCACTAAACCTCATTCCTTCCACAGCTTTCACTTCCACGTCCCTCTTCTTGTCCCGTTTACTTATGTATTCTCTTTGGGAGGTGGCAGGTGACATGGCAGAGATTTGAGCCGTCGCCGTCACTCACAGTAATGTAGTTGTTGCTTTCTTGCAGATGTCAGCTTCATGGTTCATTAACGGTGTTTGGTTTAGGGGGAGCCGAAGAGAAAGAGGATAAAAGACGAAAAGACAGGTAGAGATGGAAGGGACTGGGCGGCGAGGGAAGTAATTGGCAACATAAATGAACCCCGGTGTGGCGCTGACACTGTCCACGTTAGTAGACTGCAGATGAAAACGAGTGTGAACGGCAGTTCTGTGCTGGACATGGCGGCTTTGAGGACACCTGAAGTGTGAGGTGAGAAATAGTCAAGTAGAGGAAAGTGACAGTGCAAGAGAAGGAGGGCGGAGTGCCAGTTTGTGTGCACGGAAGCATAGACGGGTGTGTGTTGCCAGAAGTGTGTATTTGTGTGTGTGTGTGTGTGGGGGGTGCTTTCATTCCAGGAGATGTCATGCTGTTTGAGCAAACGGTTCTCCGTTAAGGCCATCCACCGCCTGCTGCCGCCGCCGCCACCCCTGCTGTACCCAGCCAGCCTCGTGCCAACGCCTCCGACATTGCCGCCGCCAATGCCAAGAGCCTGCCTGCCCCTTGTCTCAGCAGAGCAGATGTCACTCAATTGCCCTCCACCTCCCCTGAAAACGCCACCTCCACCATCACCCCACAGCCACCCCTCTGCCACCCTAACAGGCAACCGTGCCTGCGTGCCAAGCAGGCGACACCCGACGTGTGAAGAGAGAGGGGCGGCGGGCATATCGGCGGGACGGCATCAGGCAGGAATGCACAGCGTGGGAGCGTTGTCGATTTTTCACACTGCCTCCATCACCTCCCCCTCTGCCCCCAAGCCACCCACTCACCCACCTCTCCCTTACAAACAGCACCACTATGCACATGCCACATGCACTGGCTCATAAACACATGCACAGTCTATTCTCTCCTCTTCTCTTCCTCACCCCATTTTTGCCCACCCCCTGCAAAAAGAGACACACTTTCCCCTCTTTCTCTCGAGATGACACCCCCTGCAGGCCTTTGGAATATTCTAATTCTGTTTCCTAACTCTTATTATGTGTGGAGTGTGTGACATGTGAATTGTAATTAGTCGCTCTGGGGTGAGCAGAGAGCGAAACCCCCACCTTCAAAAAAAGAAAAGAACCAAAAAAGGGAAAAAAACACTGGAGGGCGAATAATACCCTATCCAATTTTAACCCCCAAGTCACCACCTTGCACTCCTGTCGTGCCTTTGATTTTCTCACATAGGTGTATGCACAGACTCCCACAGCCCTTCAGTGTTCTTTGTTTCCCCTTCCGGCGTTGATCCAAGTCCATTTCACCTCCCTTAAGATCCATATGGTACAGTAACGTTCCTCCTTCAGACCGCCGTGAATGTTATCTGCAAAGGAGGCCTGTATCAATAACCCTGCAGCCTCCGCTCCTCCACTACAAAGGGCCCGAGCGACAGGGGCTGGCTGTAGGGATGGAAGATAATGGTGTTGAGGTGGTACTTAAATCTCAGCGAACCACGGCAGCTCAAGTAATTAGTGGATGGGATCCATACTGGGGGCGCTAAGCAGAGCTAATGCTACCCTGGGCTCTGCTGCTGGAGCAAAATTAGCAGTATGGGAATGTGTAGAGATATCACACGGATTATCTGCCTTGCTCGCTGTTTCTGTCTTTCAATCTTTCTGTCCTTCTGACAGACAACCCCCAACTTCAGCGGTGGCTCTCCAACAAACCCAGCAGAAAGAGGAGAAGGAAAAAGGGAGAAGGGGAAATAGAAAGAGGGAGGGATGGCGAGGAAAGGGGATTGTAATTTCACAGCAGTGTCAGAAGAGCCAGCCGAGGCCCTGTCTTTCCATTGAGGCTTCATTAGGGCGAACAATGGACTTCCCTGCCATCTAATTAGACGAGGTTAATGAGGAGAGGAGTGCCGCGGCGGATCCCTACCGTGCTCGCTGTGTCACGGGCGGGGGAGGTGGTCAAGGGGCCTTGAGGGCACGGGATGAGGGTCACCCCATAGCCATTTTACATGATTATTGTGTATTTGATACGGAAACAAGGTACAGTGTAGAGGCTAAACATGCTCCTGTGTGGGAAGGGGTGTAAACCTCATTTAAATCAAACTGTATTGAACTTTATTGATCCCTGAAGTGAGAGTGGGTGTATAGGGTTGATTGGAAAGTATATATTTTGTATAAGCTTGATTCAAGTCAGAACTCCACTGTGACGCTAATACATTTTCTCAATGTGTTTGGTTGGAAGTTAATGCAAAAAAAGTCAAGGCAGCAGAAAAGCAATTATTTATAATTCCTTACAACAAGTTTTGGAATGTAATTTATCCTGCAGCGAGTGGCAGAGACCAAGTATTAGTAGGTAAATCACTTTCACCAATCACCATATATCTCATTAGATTTTTCTGCATCTTTACCAATGCACCAGTCAGTTTCTAGGAGCCAATACTTTTTGTGATGCTTGGCTTCACTCTGTGAGCTATTTTTCTACTTATGTCATTTTAAGTATTGCTCCCTTGCAGTGAGATGGCAAGCCAGCTGCACTGTACCTTTAAATGAACCCTTTAGGACTTGGCTTGTAGCACAGTCAGCCAGTCATTAAAGGCTGCGTTCTGCATCCTCCATGCCACTGGCTATTGAAATTCATGGGTCAAATGAGCAGCTCACCAAAATGTTGTCTGACAGAAGAAACTGATGGCCATGAAATGTACCAGAAACACTTTTTTTCTGTTCTTTGTTAGGGACACACCCACCCACCATGATGTTACAGATCCACAGTAAGTACAGTTTATTTTAATAAAGTCATTATAAAATTCAGTGTTTCCGCTATCAGTTACATACATTCAGTTGCAACAAGCCCTTCCTTGGTTCACTGTTTATTGTTGAAGCAATCCCTCCAATGCTGTTCCATACAGTGACGAATACAGATTTTGAATTTTGGAAATAGAGAGCACTAGTATCAGGTTAGTAGGCAGACCTTTTCTACTTAGGATTCCAGATTATAGGTTTTAGGTGTACCATCCCTTCATTTCAGAAGAAATTAAGGAAAGAAAAAAAAACATAGAAAGACAATCTGAAATTAAGATGAGAAATAAAGTAGAATGAGCTAGTTAACAAGAGAGTTAGAAAACTTCAACAACAGTGCCGGCTCGCTTCACAACACAACACGCAGCATGTGATGCTGCTCGCTATTAAGAATGAAGCTAATTAATCAGTTAGGTGTGAGGGAGACGGGGAGAGGTGCCTGTGTGAATTTGCCATTAGAGATGCAACAGATGAGGAAATAGGTTTTATGTATAGATAACGGCACTTAACAAGCTGAAAAGAAAAGAGTGATACTTTGGCAAACAGTAGGCTCTGTCTCAGAAACAGCTGGCATTTAATGTATAGCAGTGACAGTGAGACGCAAGCTGTAACATAATAGAAAGAAGATTTCTGTTCTTTGGTTTAGGTAATTCTCTACAAAGAAATGTAAGAAGCCAGCCAAATCATATTTTGACAGGTGTTTTTTATTTCATATTTTTGTTTTCATAAACTGCAAACCACCAGTTCTTAACACTGAACAACTGACCATTTCCTGCCACGAACCAAGCCTTTATGGTGTCCTACATTATAATACATTCCAGGTTGCACCTGCCTAAGCTGTAACAGTTGGGCTCTCTAAATGGGACAGTACTTTGTGAATGTGTAATGTGATTTTTGTGAACTGGGGAAGCAAAAACAATGTTATCACAGCACATTAGTGAGACCAAGAGATTACTCCCGCTGCAGTAGAGCCTTATGGTCTAGTTTGGGCACTGACACACATGTGAATACACATATTTCAGTAATGTCTACAGTAGTAATGTGTGGGTCATGGTACGCAGTAATGACCATAATCACAGTTGCTGTTAGGTTTGTTTCAGACTTTATGTGCCCATTGTAAACAAAAGGCCATTTTATTTTGCTTTTACTAGATAGATGGACAGTTTACTCAGCCTCAGTCTCAGTTCTTTTCATTTCCCCATAGAAATGACGCTGCTGAAACTGACATGCGCGAGCAAAATGTTAATCAAACAAACCCATTTCTCCTCAACAGCTAAACCAAACAAACGGGCCTCAACTTTCCCATTCAAGTCAGAATGACAGCGTAACACAACACAACAGCAGCAAACGCAGCGTTCTTTATTCAGGGAACGTCAGCTGCACGCTATTCTGTTGAAAATATCAACTTCAGATGTTGAGGGGAGGAAAAAAAGACGGGCGTTTTGTCTGCCTTTGTTGGTTTGGGCTTGATATGCCGCATGAGCCTTTCAAGCCATTTGTTAGACTCAATTTCTTCCTCTGTTACATCTGCAGATTATGTTTCAAGCAAACAACCAGCAACATGAAGGCACAGAAGCGCTATTATGGTGAGAGAATGACAACTTGCATAGGTAGAAAGCAGGAGGAAATACAAGAAAAGGATGGGGAAAAAAGAGTTGATGTAAAGAAGGCTAGGAAGATTGGAAAAAGGCGGAGATAGAAGTGATGAGATACTACAGTGATGAGACGTATGCACGTGTGTATTGTAAATGTTTGCATGCAGGTTATGCAAATAAAATCATTTTGATTGTCTGGCCTTAAACACAGGCTTCCTCATGTTTTGTTCATAAAACAGGCAAGCATTTCGGCTAAACTTGAAACATCTGGAATGGCCATACATTTTGTTTCTGAACAAGTAATCTAAGGATGTGCCCACATGCAAACTGTTCTCCCTGTCAATGCCTTTCAGGTTTGTTTTGAACATATAATCACATAATAACTTTCTCTGGGTGGTCTACGCACCTATAGACCTAGCAGCAGAGCAGAGCATTTTACTTAATATATAATAATTATATATATATAACATTGCAAATTTTTTTCACAAAACCCCATTAACTGGATTTTATTTGCCAATTTCCATAATAACAAAGAAAAAGAAAAAGAAGTACAAGTGAAACTATATGCTTTTTTGAGTTAAAGAAATAGTCATGACATGTCTAGTATGACATATTACAATGTTCAACAAGAACCAGGATGGGTCATTTAAAAATAGTGGCTTCCGTCAGTTTTCATGTTGACTAATTAGCTTGTGAGGTGGTTCAATTGAACACGAAGTAGCTACAACCAACTATAGCCAGGGTGGGCTTACTATATTGGTTTTGCATAAACTGTTATGTTAGCTAAATCAGTGCTTTTCTGGCAATAAAACAGAAAAAACTTACATTTAAACACCCCATTGAAAAGGTCAAGAGGAAAGAGAGAGTTATCTGCATTAGCTAGTTAGCTAACTTTTTCAAAGCTCAAAGTAGCCACATACACCCTTAGCTTGGTATTAGTAAGCTAGCATGCTTAGCGGTCTGCTTTTACATGTTTCTTATTGTATCCAGAAGAATTAGAGAAGAAGTGTGAGAGAGAATTGAGGCTTTATGAGTTTTTTTTCTCTTCTGAACCAATGTTGTAAAAGCGCATAAAAACATGTATTAAAAACAGACTCAACCACACTTTCTTGGGTCATTGAGAAGATCTACAAGCCATATATATATTTTTTTTTTTTGTTGTCCTTTTTTTGGTTTTCCTTCCAAGGAACAACAGCAAACATATTGAGAGAAGCTGCAAGGTGGACCGTTAAAAGTGTCCAAAAAGTACTGCAGAACTGTCTCCTCAACTCCACCCTTTTGTAAGTGTGAACACCTGTAGCTCCAAACACTGAGGTGTAACCTCTTAAATTTCTGCTTTTCCTTTGTATTCGAAAGTAGATCTGGCCAAATAATATGTTGTTAAAGCAGTTATATTATCAGTTACATTCAATGTCATTTGCTTTTAAAAAAACAAAACACTTGCTTCTATGTAGCTTTTTTTTTGATTACCATGATTTTCATCACGTTAAATATCAACATTCACAGATGAACTACTGCACCAAAACCAAACCCTGTTTTGATTAAAGTGACACTGCTGTCTTTAAGTCACATGTACTGATATCCAATTTAAACTTTCAGTTTCAGAACTACAGTTTGACCATTACAGAAAGCCAGTGGGAACACCTTTATGAAGAAACACACTACACAGTAATATCTAGTATATCTTTGGGATTAACAGGATCATTCCCCGTCATTCCATCTCAAATTTACTTCTACCTCGTGTTTCATCACCATGTTTTAACCAGTACTCCTTCTAAACAGACCAAACTAAAACTCAAACATGAATTTATCACCCTGATCTTGCTTACGCATAATTGGGCTAGCTGGGGTCAAAGCAGAATCTTACCTAATAAAGAATCAGATACTAGCTGTGGTGTGATCTCACCTGGGGTGATAAATGTGTTCTGAATCTCAGAGCAGTGTTATTTTTTGTGCTTTCAGGCTCAGGACATGCATCCCCACAAGCGTGGACGAAAATCCCCAATCCCACCAAAAGTTAAACCAAATCCCATTCCATATTCCATACCTCTACTTGCTATGAGTGTGTACACTTCAATAAGGAGGATCACTTGCCACAGAACAGTAGACCACTGACAAGCCTTGTGTACCCGCTATTCAAAGCTCAACAGCAGCACACTACTTTAACCTAGATCGCCATCTAGTGATCGTGTTCAGCATGACTCCTCTGACACCACCAGCAACCTCACCACACACGTTTCTATGTTGTAACAGATCGAGGAAATGTTTCCTATCAGCAGGATGTCTGTATGGGATTTTAGGCATTTTGCTTTTAACCGTATGTTTATGTGTGTTCACACATAAAGTGCAGAAACTTGCTTTTGTTCTGACATGTTTTGTAATCCGGTACAAGTAAAATCTGTTTTTCAAAAGGTGTATTTATATGGTCATGTCATCGTGAAAGGTTGTCTCGCTGTTAGGCTGAGGATCAATACATTCTTGTTGCTTCTGGTGACAGTTAAATTACTAATTTCCAGAAATGGCTTTCAAGGAAATGAACAATGGAATCATTAGTTGCAACTTGGATGTCTGCTTCTCGGTAGCTTGTTTTTAGTGTTGTCATGCCATGTTTAAGATTGTTTAAGATTTCCTAAACACAACCTTATTGTTGACTTTTTATCAGTGCAATTCAGTACTGTATCTGCAAAATGTTTAGGATTTCATAAAATAACCTTGTTTTTGGCTATTGGTCGATGTCATATTGAATGGACCAGACACTGTAACTCGTTTTTGTTGTTGTTTCATTTCGTGACAGCCTTCTATCTCCAAATATATTTGAGGAAAACAATCGTTTTGGGGCGGTCAGTGCAGATGTGAACGGACCCTTTAATTTATTTGAAATGTTGTCATCGTATTTAAGCGAAAAACATGAAAATAATACAAAATGGACTTGTTCGTTTTTCACACGGAGGCTTCTTGTGAGTAATAAAGACTGCATGTTTGGAGAAGAAGAGAATGTCAGTGATTTTTTTTTCAAAATGTTTAATTTGTGGTAGTATATGTGGCTGTATAGTGGATGTTCGCCCGAGTGTATGTATATATGCCTTAACTGTGTTTATGCACATACCTCTGTGTGTGTGTATGTGACTGCGAGTGAGTGCACGTGTGTGCAGAGGCCATGCGCCTCACCTCTCTATAATGAAATCATGCGGGTCAGTGAGGCCGACGTGGCTCGGGCAGGTCATCCAACAGATCGGAACTAAGCTGCTTTGACCCGGCCTGGTACTGCATGCCAAACACACACAAACACACACCATACACAGTGCTTACAACACAATGGAACCACTGTACAGAGGAGAGGGTTTGTGGTAATGATTAAAAAGCGAGTCCAAGCTGTTACACACACACCCAAGGAGTTTATTCACAATGCTAGAGCACACACAAACAATTGTTTTCTTTTTATTTAGCAAAACTAATAAGAGAAGATGTCCTTTAAAGAGGGTTTGAGAAATTACATCAGGAAATTAAATCAACGATGGGAGTGATCAAAGTTGCCGTAGTCTATAAACACTGAAATGCTACATTAGATTACAGTACAGCAAGTTGTGTTTCAGCTGGGTTATTGTGGAGAAAGCTTTAATCATTTCTCTTCTATTAGCTGCTGCTCGTATCGCCCAGGGACTTCCATTAGAATTAAATTAAACAGTGGAAATGTAAATATTGACAACATATGCATAATTATTTATTCCACAAGCAACAAGATCAGAAAATTATTGCTACACCATCGGGTTAATATGAAAACAGAAACATTTGCATTTGCTGGTAATAAAAATGCAAATCACATTACAGGACAAATGATAATAATAATAATAATAATAATGATAATAATGATAACAATAATAATAGCATGTAATGTAGCTCCCAGAAAAATGTCAAAATTCAATTAAAGTAAATACAGTAAATCCATCATTTTGCAAATATAAATGTACGTTCCTCCCACCCACCATCCATCTGTGACCTTTGCATTTTTATTATTTCAACCCTATCAGAGGTCAAAGGTCAACACCTCCAACACTGCAGCCCTCTGGAAGCTGTCCCTTTTTCTAAGAGGATAATCAATTACCAGAAGACTGATCCTCGCCGTTGTGTCCCTGCTCATTCCTGCTTCTTCAGATCAGTGAGGTCCCCATAAATTTGAATGTAAAACAAGCTCACCAGCACAGGGTTAAACACGTAATTAGCCACGACAAGTGAATATGAGGAACAGACTTAGTCAGGAAGAGAGCTATGGTAATGCAGGAGGCTTCGCAGCCCTGCAAGGCATCGAGACGGGACATGGGAAGGGGAGGGTGTGTGAAGGAGATTTCACATGCAGATATTAGAAATGCAATTGTCTTCTGAATATGGGGCGTCGGTCTAGAAATTGACTTTTTCATTATTCAGTTACTACAATAATTAAATATTCGATGCCCTGGGTTGGTGAAGCTACTGAACCACACTGAGGATATTTAACAGGGCCTGACAGATGTTTTAAATAATGTTTATTTATCAATACTAATATAAACTGCCCTAAACTGTCACTCTCCTGTGACCTGCCTCAGATTTCTTCAGGCTTTGCAACAGTGACTCACATCCAACTGTAGGAAGAAGAACAACAAACTTATAGACATTACTAAAGTTTGCCTTTCTTTCTTTCTTTCTTTCTTTCTTTCTTTCTTTCTTTCTTTCAGTTTTGTCTCTTTTTTTCTCCCTAAAACATGTGTGATCTCATCTGATTGGCTGTTTCCCTCTAACTTCCGGTGACTTGATTCAAACACAAAATCAGAGGGAAGCTCCTCACGTCGCGGCGGGCCTTGCTTGTCCAGACAAAAAAACGACCCAAATGTATAAATGAATACATGAACAAACACCAACTAAAAAGCCACACAGATGAATTAATACATAAATACATGGCCATATTTATTCATAGTCTCCATAGCAACACATTTGCCAGCCCCTGCAGATCTGAGAGGGAAAAATATCATTATACAATAATTAGACTTCCATCCAGTTTCCATTGCCCATTACCAAATATGAAATATTCTATGCATTTACATCTGAAAATGTCAATCCTATTCAATATCACAACGTGATTTGCAAGTCATGCCGCTCAGAAGACCCATCAAGAGAGAGGATAAAAGGCAAAAAGGAAAGAGATTCACTTCTTTCCTGTCTAGCCAGAACAAGGCAAGTACAAAGGTATAGGAGAGCCAGGGCAGAGAGGGATTAAAAAAACAAAACAACCTACAGGAGAACTTTCAACAGGCTTGGAGCGGTTACAAACGCATGGACGCCAATGCTTCCAGTAAGCAAGAGAAGCACAGTCTGAGTTCGTCCCTCATGGCTTTCATGTGGGTAAGTACTCTTGTCTTCATTCTCTCCTTGTGTTACAGTTTCCCTATTGGAACACATTTAAATCAGCATTTGCACAAACAATTTTAACCGTCGAAACGTTTACTCTGGCTCTCATACTTTCTGTCGGCACCGCTGGAAACTGGGACGACAGCCACTTTGAACTGCCATGTGCTGCCGCTTGCTCACTATGCGCCCGAACGCTGCGCCGCAGTGCAACAGCGGGGTCATGTTCAACCTTTATTCTTGATCTAGTAACACGTCCACTCCAAGAAGCAAACAACACGCAAGTGGGCTCAAACCCTCAGTGGTGGAACAATACGCTTTCCTTTGGATCTTTGGAGTTGGAATCCATTTGCATTGGCAACAGGTAGCGGCGCTCAATAGGGGCCCCGAAAATGTCTGGTTAGAAATTCATCTGCTCCTTCACATCATAGATCTCCAGCAGGCTCAACAAGGGAGAACGGGGGGGACAAAGTGGTAGAGTGCTTTTGTTGACAGGCTCCAACAACTTATAGTGATCCTTCATTGCTGTGTTTGATGGACATCTGAGCACCACTTGTGAAAGTGTGGGGGATGGTGAGGAGAGGGTGGCATGAGCGGGAGGGGGGAGACGGGGGATGGGGGGGCCACGGGTGTCAACACAGGGACTGATGGAGTGTGCGCTAAAGCATGGTATTGAAAAAATAAACAAATCAGAAACAATTAAGTGTGAACTCTCATGGAATATTCATAGGCGAGCAGCCTTTGCGTGACAAGCCATCACGCCACCTCCAGTCCATTTTTTTTGTTCCTCCTCTCCATGTCCTGCACACATGGAGATGTGCCTGCCACTTAAATCAAATTAGTCATTAGCAAATTGAATCAACAATTAGAGCAAAAGAGCTACATGGCATTAGCGTCAGTTCAGTCATATTTGTCAACCTATCAGAGCAACCTCTGGAGTAGTTTTTCCTGCGGTCCAACTCCTCTCCGGTGCGTTCAAAGTCAAGGCTGTAGCTCAGGGCAGAAGGCCCCTCTGTCCCTTTTCTGCCAGGGTCACCTAGCATCACTGCAGCTTGAGCACGCTGTTGTTGTTTTTCGCCAAACTATATTTGGTTTGTTCGCCAGCTCTTTGATGGATCCGGTGGCTGCCCTGATCGCCCCTCTTTCTGCCTCTTCTGGATTATTTGTATCGACATTTCTCACTCCTCTTCACCATAGCTTTTAGTTAGAGGCTGTCAAAAACATTGCTGGCGGAAATGGAAGTATCCTCATTATGCAAATGCTAGGCTCCACTGATGGCATGTTCTGTTTTATAAATTGCGTCCCCTTGTCAGGAGTCAAATTGTATTTGAGTAACTTCAGAGAAATTGTCACAAGATTTCAATTTGGTTTGCCTGCAATGCCACCATCAATTTAGTCAGAACAAATATAGACAAATATTTCTTTACAAAGAGCAACGTGATTGTGTTGTTGTGGGGAGCGATTTTAGCAATCATATATTATTATGTAAGTACATCTTGTGCAAGGTTTTGAATAATGAAAGATGAAAAAGTTATGCAGTTGAATAAATTCATTTAAGATTCAGATTTTAAAAAAAAAATAAAATATGATAAACAGCAGTGGTTAGTGTATATTTTTAAATGATTTTCTGCTCACAAACTCTCCTCGAAGAGAGTTGACAGGGCATCCTCCAAGGAGACATTAATAATCATGTTCCATTAGAGGTAACAGGCAAACACATTTAGAAGTGATCTTCTGTAAGCTGCATGAATAACTGGATAATTGTAAATGTGTTAATGTATCTTATTTGTAAATTTTCCTCCAAAATCAGCTGTCTGTGCACGCTAAACTGAAAATCAAGATCACAATTATAAATACAAACCTTATCCCAACTTTAAACTTTGGAGCAAGCAAGGGACTCAACTGCATTGTAACTCTTCATTAAATGATATTAAATTTTAAAATATCCTTTTTTCATCTTATGAAGTATTCTCTGAATGTCGTTTCAAGCCTGGAAACTGATTCCTTTAATCCTTTAATCTTCAAGGCAGAAACAGTCTCTGAGTGGTCTTCAAAACTTGATCAATCCAGAAACTAATATTTGAGGAAATTTGAAAGGGAAGGAACTTAGAGTGCATGGCCATATAACTGAGCTAATGCTGATCTTGCAGTTTAACATGTATCAAAAACAAATATTGGGTTTTAGGATGTTGCACAGCTTCCAGTCTGCAAACAGCCCTGTCAGCATGGGTCAATAGAAATCCATTTTACAGGATGCGATTTGAAACAAAACTTCTTTTACAAGTTTCCTCTGCGAATTAAGGAAATATCCGAAAGGTATTCAGGATTTGTTATTACGTTTACTGTGTTTATCTATTTATGTTTGTAGCAATCTTGAAGGTCTTAAACCCAGATTATTTTTCTGTCTGCTTCACTTACAGGCCTCTATCAAAATGAAAGTACATTCAAGTGCCCCCTGAATTGAAACAGCAGCATGCATCAAAAGTGACACCAAAAACTCTCTCGGTTCACTTGGAGATTGGCAAAACACGACTCTGCTGCCTTCTATCCTCCATCATTGTTACAACAGTGAAAAGTGGGAAAGAAACATGACGCCTTAAATCTCTGACAGCAA